ATAAAAACAACAAGATATCATCTTACCCCAGCACTAATAGCAAAGTTCAACAAGACAGAAAATAAGAATTGTTGGTAAGGATGTGGAGAGATTGGAACTCTCATACACTGCTGGTGGATCTGTAAAATGATACAACCACTATGGAAACCAGTATGATGATTAAGAAGTTAGAGATAGAAATACCATTTGATCCAGCAATCCCATTACCAGGTATACATCTTAAAGAAGTGAAAGCCAGGACACGAACAGATATATGCACACCCTTGTTCATCACAGCACTATTTACAATAGCAAAGAGATGGAAACAACCTAAATGCCCATCAACAGAAGAATGGATAACCAAACTATGGTCACAATGGAATACTATGCAACACTAAAAAATGATGTAGAATCTGCAAAACACTACATTGTATTTGGAGGTTCACTGCATAAAATGGATGAAATTGGAGGACATTATGCTGAGTGAAATAAGTCAATCACAAAGGACAAATATTGTATTAGTCTATTATTATAAAAAGTCAAGGAAATATTTATATATGGAAGGAAACTTGCTTTGTTGGTTACCAGGGATGGGGGGGGGAAGAAAATTGTTAGAAAGGTAATAGACAAGTATTGATTTGAGTGAAGGGAAAAGCAATAACTCAATAACACTAAGGAAAAAAGAAGAGACAGAAAGGTGCATAAGAGGTACAGAAAACAAAGATAAACACTTTTCCATATATAATACTGTGATATCAGTGATTTAAAAAAAAAAAAAACATTAATCTATAGGTAAATAGATGGGTAAACAGGTTGAATGTTTAGGTATGTCCAGGCATAAAAGGAATATACCCATGACCATATATAAGGTTAGCAGATGATATTTCAATCTACCTATTTGTATATGGTATAAGAATGTCCATATAAATAGAACTAATAGAGGGCAAAGTTATAATAACTTCTTAACCACTGTCAGCTACTCTGGTGGAGAGAGTTGTTGGACCTATGGATTCAGGACCAGGGTCACAGGGGACATCAAGCTCAATTGGCATAATATACTACACAAAAATATTGTTCTACATCCTACTTTGGTGAGTAGCAAACTTGAGTCTTAACAGCTTGCAAGCAGCCATCTAGATGCAACAATTTCTCTCTCCTCATCTGGAGCAAAGAAGAATGAAGAAAACCAACGATCCATGGAATCAATCAGTCTAAGGGACCAGTGGTCCATGCAAACCTCAGCCTATATGACCTTGAGACTAGAAGAACTAGACGGTGACTGGTTACCACTGTCAACCACTTGGAAAGAGATCAGTGCAGGAGATCCTGGATAAAACGGGAGAACAATGTGGAACAAAATTCAAAATCATTAAGTAAAAGACCAGACTTACGGGTCTGATAGAGCCTGGTGAAACCCTCAAGAGTATGGCCCCTAGTTACTCTCAGGCCTGGCATTGAACTCACTCCTGTGGCTTCCCATCAAACAATAAACAGACATATAGAGTGAACATTTACATCAGGTAGATACATCCCTTAGAACGATCAGTCATGGGAGAACAGAAGTGCAGTATTTGCACAGGAAAACAGCTCAAGGGGCAGGAATGCATAGGAAAAAAGGGAAGGGGTAACTACAAGGAGAAAGTGGAAAGAGAGCTGTTAGATTGTGGGGATTGCAGTCAATGTCATGAAACAAAATGTGTATGAACTGCTCCATGGAAAAATGAATTTGCTCTGTAAACTTTCACCCAAATCTCAATAAAATTAAAAAAAAAAAAAAAAAAAAGACCGGGCTTATGGGTCTGATAGAGATTAATGGACCCTCAGAGACTATGGTCCCTAGTCACCCTTTGGGCCTGGGTTAAACTCACTCCTGTGGCTTCCAGCCAAACAATAAGCCTACTAGGTGAACATTTACACCAGGTAGGTACACTCCTTAGAACCATCAACCATGGGAGACCAGAAGGGCATCATTTGCACAAGAAGATGTTCAGAGGGCAGGAATGCATAGGAAAGAATGACACAGGGAAAAGGTAACCACAGGGAGGAAGTGAGAGGAGAGCTGTTGATTTATGAGGATTGCAATCAACGTCAGAAAACAAAATGTGTATGAACCGTTGAATGGAAAAAAATTTGCTCTGTAAACTTTTACTCAAATCACAATTTTAAAAAAATGTTTTTAAGTATCCTAATATAAAAGAAAATTAGGGGACTCTGGTGGCATAGTGCGTAAGGCATTTGACTGCTAACCAGAAGGCTGGTGGTTCAAATCCACCAGCCACTCCTCGGGAGGAAGGTTGGGCAATCTACTTCTGTAGTGAGACTACCTCAGAAACTCAAGGAGGGGTCACTATGAGTTGGATCTGACTCGACAGCAGCGAGTTTGGTTTGGTTTACCCGGAAGTAACTGCCTATTGCTGTTTAAATGATTGTTGCTGTTGTTATTTCCACCACTCCACATTTAGTCTCCAGGAAGTGAATATATTGGCCCAAAGTACCCATGGAGTGAAGGGGATGTGCCACCTGGAACTTGATTGCCCTCCTCTAGAACACACTCTGACACCCCAAAACCAACAAAGTACAAAAACAGAAAATTAGACCTATTCCATCGACTTGATTCTGATTCACGGCTAGCTAGTGTGTTACAGTTTCTTGATCCTCTAAGTTTAATGGCTCCTCATGAGCACAATTAAGTGTTCTGGAATTGCCATGCTTCCCAATGTTATCCATAATTTTTTATGATCCACACAGTTGGGTGCATTTACGTAGTCCATAAAACACAGGTAAACATCTTTCTGGTATTCTCTGCTTTTAGTCAAGATTCATCTGACATTCTGCAATATGTGGTAACACAACCTTGTTTGCTGAAAGCAGAGAGAATTTGAAGTACTTAATGATGAAGATCAAAGACTACAACCCGAAGTATGGATTACAACTCAACATAAAGAAAACAACCATCTTCACAACTGGACCACTAAGCAACATCATAATAAATGGAGAAAAGATTAAACTTTCCAAAGATTTCATTTTACTTGGATCCACAATCAATGGTTATAAAAGCAGCAATCAAGAACTCAAACAGGGTATTGCACTGGATACTGCAAAAAACCTCTTTAAAGTGTGAAAAAGCAAATACATCACTTTGAGGAGTAAGGTGCACCTGACCCAAGCCATGGTATTTGCAATTGCCTCATGTGCTTGTGAAAGCAATGAATAAGGAAGACTGATGAAGAATTGATGCCTTTGAATTATGTTTTTGGCAAAGAATATTGAATATACCATGGACTTCCAGAAGAATGAACACATTTGCCTTTGAAGAAATACATCCAGAATGCTCCTTAGAAGCAAAGATGGTGAGACTTTATCTCATATATTTTGGACATGTTATCAAGAGGGACCAGTCCCTGGAGAAGAACATCATGCTTAGAAAAGTAGAGAGTCAGTGAAAAGGGGATGGATTGACATGGTGGCTGCAATGGTGGGCTCAAGCATAGCAACAGTTGGGAGAATGCCATAGTACATAATGTCACTATGAGTCAGAATCAACGCAATGGCACCTAACAACAAGAAGAATCTTGATAGAAGCAGGTTGCCAAGGCTTTCTTCCATGATGCCACTGGGTGAGTTCAAACCACCAGCCTTTAAAATAGGAAACAAGCACAAAACCATTTGCACTACCCAGGGATTTTTTTCAGGTAACCAGGGCCCTGAAATTCCCAAATGGGCCTGTGTGGATGCCTTCCCCAGGGCCATTACCCTGAGGGCAAACTGAACTTGGTTTGCCCATGTCTGGGCCTGAAAAACAGCCAAGGGCCAGCTCTCTGTAGGAGTGTGGACAGCATTTGCCTGTGCAGGCTGAGATGTTTACAGGCATGTGCACGAGGTAGGAAAAGGGAGGGGACATAGGTCAGCCACTGGGACAGACCTCCTCACCCTTCCCCACCACACTCCATTGCCAAGTCCAAGGAGTCGGAATTCTACATTCAAAGCTGGGCTTCTGGTTTGTTATGAAAGTATATTGGTCAACATAGGAGAATAGAACATATTTTATTTCACATTTTGTTAGCTTGATTTATAACTTGCAAATATTTAGACATACGGTATGTGAGCCTCCATCTGTACTCCTGCCCAGCCCTACAAATTCCTGCCACTTTTTGTCTAGTCTCAATCCCAAGTGTTTACTGAACCATCCTGTCCCCTGTATTGAGCCCAAGGAGGCTCTGTGCAGTAAGGGCACCTTCCCACCACCCAAACATGACCATCTATTGCCCTCATTCTCCAAAAACAGTGAAGAGCACTGGGTCAAGGGTAAAGGCATAGGCCTGGTCCTTGACTCTGTCCCCAGACCCTGGTGAGGTAGGGCAGAGCTCTGCCTTTGTCTGTGCTTTTTTGTTGTTGTTATGTGCCGTGGAGTCAGACCTGACTCATAGTGACCCCTCCTTGGGTTTCTGAAGCTATATCACTACAGAAGTAGATTGCCCAACCTTCCTTTCAAGGAGTGGCTGGTGGGTTTGAACCGCCAGCCTTATGGTTAGCAGTCAAGTGCCTTAGGCATTACGCTTGTCTGTGCTTTAGTTTCCCCATTTTGACAAGAGACCCCTCCAGATCTGAAAAGTTGTGGTTCAATGGGACAAAGCCTGAGCCAGAACCAGATCCAGCTATGACCTGGGGATGGGGAGATAAGTATTATGGGTTCTCATGACGGGGAATTGAGCTCTCTGGATCAGGTAGACATGGCTCGCCCATCCCCCTCCATGCATTCATTCCACAAAACGGGCAGCTATCCACATTGTGCCAGGACCGAGCAAGGGGCTGGGGGCCCGTAGACCAGCAAGATGATGAATCTGCAAGATGGGATGGATAAATAAAAGCACATAGAAAAAGCCAAACCACCAAGAAAGATCTGGTGAGTGTTCCAAAAAGAGACCTTCCCTAACTTACTTCCATCCTCACAACCCCAGGGTGATATGTCCATTTCTCAGATGAGGAAGCAATGGCTCAGAGATGTAAGGGGTTTGGCCAAGACCCTGCCGTTTAGGACGCGCCCAGATCTTGTGGCCGGCCAGAGAGAGGCTTCGGATTTCCGCTGTCTCCGGCCACTGTCCCAAACTACCCAAAGCTGGGGAGGCCCCGTCCAGCTCCCGGAAGGCTGGAGGGAGGTGAGCGCCAGGGAGGGGCTGGCCCGGAGGACACGCGGGCTGGGAGGCAGGGAGGGGCCCGGCGGGGGGACGACCTGAGGCTCCCAGCGCTGTAGTGCGCAGCCTGGGGAGCCGGAGCGCAAGCGACTGGGTGCGCACGAGTACGAGCCGCGCTCGGGTCAGTCCGCCACGATCAGGCAGGGGTCTGGGCTCCGAAGCGCCGGCGAGGGTGCGGGAGTGGGGGAGCGACGAGGGAGGCACTGCAGTGCCCGCAGCAGCGGGCTGGGGGAGCTGTGCCCGCCTGTCCCTAGGGCCCGGGCGAGGAGGCGGCAGCTGGGTCGCCGCGCCTCTTGACGAGCGCGGTCGGGCGGCGCGCAGCCAGGCGTGCCTGGAGTAGGCTTTGGCCCTAAGTCCTCCCGGGCGTCCGGCTGGGGAGGCCCCGAGAGAAGCCCAGTCCCGAGGGCTAGGGCCGCTGCTGCCGCCACAGCTCTGGCCCGCCCCCGGGGGGTGTCCCGGGCCGCTAGGCCCGCCCAGGTAACCCCATCCTCGGCCCGCCCCCGACCCGCC